CCCCCACTGAAGGTTTCAGTTTGACCCATGAGAAGGTCCAGAGTGTGTCCACTCGACCTAACACCTCCTCACCTCAAGTGTCAGTGGGTGTGGGGGGTGAAGGGGGGAGGGGTTGATGACAGACAACATTAGAGTTGACCCCTGTAGGTTGTAAATACACTACTGTCATGATGTATCTGAGGTCACATAGTGTTTCCTTTGAGTTGATGTTCTGTCTTAGAACTGAAAACACCTTCAGCCAACATCACACACACACACACACACACTTATATCTTTAAATATATCAGTGAAATATATTAAAATCAGCATTAATCTTAGGAACTATCAGCAGTAGTGGTTTTTCCAGCACAGTCGGTGCTTTGGACTAAATCTGCAGTAAGTCTTAGATAAGAGTCAGTTTCCCACGACCTTAGACAGAAACAAACTAAAGTCACAGAAGAGGAAGATGAAGTTGTTCTGATGTAAATGCTGCTGTGGTTCAGAGGAAAGGCTGAGGCTGGAGGTCACTGAGACACTGACACTGTCTACTGACCAAGTCTACAGACTGTCACAGGGGTCTGACCAGGAGCTAACGAGACAGTGAATCTGACGAGATTTAGCCAAATTGACATCACTTCATAGATCTGATTGAAACATCTGTGCACTGTTGTTTGTTTGTTTGTCTTTAGAAGGCCATGGACCAGGCTGGAGGATGCTTTGATCATGATCTAACTGGTTTAATACACATGGTACACTCCCCCGATACGCTGATGACACCTTGATTTGTGGCTAAATTGAATGGATATGATAAGTAGCCGGGGCTGTTAGCCTGACACAGACTGGGTGGTGTAGTACAGTCGAATGACCTGACGGTGTGATGTCACCAACGCTGTAACCCTCCCAATGTCCACCATGTCTGAGTCAGAGTCGTTATGTAAATATAGTTCATCCTGAGTTATCCTACCAACCACCAAGTCGTCAGCAGCTACCGCTTCAGAGAAGGAGAAGAAGAAAAAGATGTTGGTTTTTAAAATAACACTTTATTAACAGTAGGTGTAAAAAAACTAAAACACACAATTACATAATCAAGAAACAAACTAATTAATTTAGGAACTGTACAAATTTCAGTTGGTCACCAGTCACCTGAAGAAGAAGAACGTTCATCGTCCAGGTGTAAAAACGCTGCAGCTCTGACCCACTAACAGTTGTTTCAGTTTTCACATTCAGGGAACAGAACGGCCAAGTGGAACTAGTCTACAGCAAAACCTCAATGTGGGCACAAGGTTCCCAACCACTGGAGCCTGGACAGCTACTGGACCATAGCTCATTTCATTGTCCCACAGTGCAAAAACCTGCAGATCAGGGTTAAGGTTATTAGGTCAGGTCAACCGCTGGTCCAGGAGAGGATAGTCCACTGAGACACTGGTCCAGGTTCTGACTCCTGTGTCTCAGGAGACCACAGTTTAGACACTGTACTTTATATGAAGCCCAGCCCCACATGTTGAGGGTCAGTGGTGACGGCCATTGGCAGATTGTAAATGATATGGATTATAATTTTACTAGAAACAAAGTGAAGAAAGAATGTTTATTATTTATGATGTTTTATTTATTGAATTTATTTAATCGTTTCCATTGATCTGGTCAGAAAGGTCGACTGTGTCAGCGGAGCGGCTGCCAATTCTCTCACATTACCGCTGAACGTTTTCCTTCTTCTGGAAACTTCTCCATAATCAACCACAGTATTTACACCCTCTGAGGTATTTAATATTTAATATTTGACAGAAGAATCATGTATTTAAAAAAGACAAACATTTGTGTCACTTTCCTGTAGAATAAACAAGAACATTATTATTATTATTATTGTTGTAGGTTTCTATAAAGACCAAGTATTAAGAATATTTGAGTAATACCCTTTTATAAAGTCGCTGTACATAAACTGCCTCGACATGATGTTTCATCAGCCAATAGAAGATCAAAGATCTGAAGTTCTTCCACTCGTTCCTCTTTTCAGTTCCACATGTTCCACAGTGTTCTGTCAGTGTTGTTTTTCCTCCCTCTGCTGGACCTCCATCAACAACCCCGTGGTCACTGCCCAGGGCTGCATGTCATAGGGTCGCAGAGTCAGGGTCATAGGGTCAGATTTAAGGGGCAGTGATAAATTAAAGGGGTGAAGAAAAAATAAGTTTAATTTCATGTTGAGACAACCTGCAGGAAACAGGAAATAGTTTTTCAGTCCCGTGTCCTTCATCAGGACAGTGGACGTCCTCAGTGATTTTATTTCTGTTTTTCTATCTAATGTTTAGCAGAAACTGTAACTGGGGAGAGAAGAGGATCCTGACAGTGTGCCAACAGCGCCCCCTCAGTATTAATGTCAGTAAGAACTTCTTTTGTCAAAGTGCAGTAAATATTAATCTAACCCTAGAACTGGAAGAGGTTTTTAATGGACTATTTATATAATATACTGGTTAAATTGACATACAGTATAAACACGCAGTACAAATACTTTATTGTTAAAAGTAATATATTGCTGATTCATGCGAAGGACATTTTTTTAGGTCATAGAGCCAAATGCTTTTGTATCCACAGCGTTAAGTGTTAAAACCATGAACAACTGCAGAACAGTCAGCTGCTGGTTCCTTTAGGAGAACGTTAGCGTTCCAGGCTAAGGTCTGTCAGCTGATGTAGCAGCAGTTCGTCTGCAGCAGCGAGTTGTTTCGAAGCGTCACTGTCTTTTATCCACGGCAGCTCCTGAGAACAGAAGTAAATAATACTGCCATTGTTGCTGCAGCTGATCTGCAGTAAAAGACTGAGGAGAAGAGTTCAGAAAAAAGGATTTTTTTTATTTAAAAAAAAAAATCCTTTTGTTGAAGGCGGAGGCCCTGTAGTGTTATTAACAACATGTTTGTAAACTGTAGATGTTCTTCACATCAGTGAGTAAAAACAAAAAAACAACTACCTGTATATTTTTGTGACGTGTATTATGCAAGTGTGCTCCAACATCAATGTCCGTTTGTGTAAAGTGTTTATTTCACATTGTATATACTGCATAAAGAGAGACCTATGATTCTGTAAGTGAAACTACTATCAGTTCAAACATATACCTGTTAATCCAGACTATGCCTTTCAGGATTATTACATTAGAGCAATATTAAAACCAGGCTTCCAGTTTTGAACACCGCAACAGGTATGTCCTTCACACACACACTCACACACACACACTGTTGGTTTGGTTCAACGTTCACTAAGTCTTCCTGCTTCTTGGCCTTTCTGACCTTCAGACACAGAGTATACTCAGTACTCAGTGAAGTAGTACTTTTTATTATTTTTTTACTTATGTCAGTATGAACTTCTATTACACTGCCACACATGCTTTACATTGACATGGTTGTTAAGCAGAACATCCACTAGGGGCAGTGTTAAGTTCACGGTGCACTTTCGTCTCATTTATTTATTTTGTCCAAAATGTTTTTTCTTCTGTGAAACTAATGATAACGACCTGCTGGGAGTCGCTAACACTTTAGCACAGCTTCTTTAAACTGAACAACCTCTCGTGTGGTTCTGTCATTGTGTTCTTCTTCCATGTTTCTTTCTGGCAGCACGCCTAGTTTCTTGCTCAACACTGCCCCCACAATTTCCAGTGGTACTTTAAATGGACCAGAGTTGGTTTCCAGGAATGGTCCACTTCATTTGGTCAACTTTGAAAGCTCCTCCGACGCCTCCTGTTGACGACACTTTGTACAACCACTGAGTCACAAAGTGTTTATGTTTAATGTGTTTGTGTCCCAGCTTCAAACCACTGACCCTCACTTCACTCTCCCTTCATTTGTCTCGGTGTCTCAGTGTCTCAGCCAGCAGCAGACGACTGGACACAGACACCAGAGATTTAATGAAGCAACACCCACCAAGTCTTTTTCCAACAGGGGGAGCACTGACCCTGGGGGGGGGTGTATTTTTCAGAGATGACACAGATGACATCAGACCATCATTCCACTTTGCCACCCTCCCGCCCCCCCAACCTATCCTCAATGCACATATGTTTTATTTTACTCTCTGCCTTTTTGGTTCATTTATTTTATTTTATCTTTGATTCATTATTATGATACGATAAAAGCTACTTGAGCGTCCCAGCTGCTCAGGGCTCTGATCGTTAGCTTGGTGGATGTCTGTGAGAGTGGACTCCACGTGCTGCACCCTTTAATGGCCGACCTCCCCCATCCCCCCAACCTCTTACTCCTCCACCCTCTGTCTCAGTCTTTCTTGGTCTGATTTATTTTCCGTTCATAACCACCTCTGACTAATTAGTGTTTCCTTAAATTATTTACACACCTACTCAGAT